AGAGACTATTGGAGGATCAGGGATATGGATGGCCGGAAAGGTGGAGGGAGCGTACAGCCCTTGTGCAAGTAGGAAATCGTGGAAGGCTTCACCAGCTGGTGTTTCGGTTTCTGCGCCTTGTGCCCCGATAGCCTCACTTTCGAGGCTGCCAGTGCGTGCATTGGCGTCTGTAAGGAGGATCAAAGGCGTCCCTTTGGGGAGACGGCGCATTTCTTGAGTTCTGGCAGCCCAAAAGGCACGTACTTCCCCACCTGTATCCTGTGGGTTGGATGGTGCATGCGCAACAAGTACCGCTACACGGAGGTGCGGCGCAAGGACATGTACAAGAAGATGCCGCGCAGAGAAAGACGCGACCGTCAGGTGTGAAAGCTCAAGACAAAAGCTCTGATCTCCACATACAGCATAGGGCTGCAGCTTGTTCACCCACAATGCACATCCGTACTGTCCAGCTGTGTTAGCTGGGGCGTGGAGGAGCCAGAAATCCTTGTCCGGGAGTGTAGCAGCATCCTGGACGCGAGTCTCCTGAAGTCCAAGGAAAAGGACCTGTCTGTCTCGCACTTGTCGTATGAGCAAGTGCCGCCGACCGTGCAGGCGCATGCCGACGGGTTGTCGTACGCCAGTGGTGCCAGGGTGCTTATCCAGCAGCGTGAGCACGTTGTATGTCATGGCGCAAAGGTGATAGTGCACTGGGCGGGTAGGCTTGGGCTGGTACACGTGCAAACCGAGACTGGGTGGTGGCCGATCACTTGGTGTCGTATGTTGCAGCCTGTCGGCCTCAGCCTCAAACGCGTACAACGTTGGCATGTCCGGGGTGGGATGAGCAACAAGCCACGCCCACGCAAACATAGGATGCTGGACAAGTAGGGACGGCCATTGTGGGAGTACGCGCTCCTCACAGGTGCGGGGACACAAGCGAGCTCTTTTGGCTAGAGCATCACTGAGCTCGTTACCTGTTTCGCCTCGATGGCCTGGTACGTATGCATGCCTGAGGTCTGTACGCCTCATGGCAATTTGGCGGAACAGAGCTGTACTTTCACTTAGGGGCGGATATCCATCCACTGTTGGAATCGATGCACAGTGTGCGTCTGCAAAGGACCCATCGCCGGCGGCGAGACAGTCATAGTGGAGACAGATGGGGCAACGGAAAGCCGGCCCAAACTCTATAACCCAGCATAAAGCCCAGGCTATGGCAAGCAATTCGCTTGTTAACGGCGAGTCATTGGCCTCACCCAGGCAGAAAATCGTGCCTGGGGGTGTGGCAGTAGAAGCTGCAGAACCGTAAAAGAGGAGCCCACTTGGGGTCGTGACCCAAACATTGAAAGCCCAGCCACACGGGGCAGAGGCAAGTGGCTCGGCACGGCCGTTGGCCGACCCATCAGTGTAAATGTCAACCTGGGTGGGATGGCCGGGGGCTTCGGCAACATGCCAAAGTCGAAAGCCTGGGATAGCGGCTTGTAAACCTTTCTCGAGGTCTGGGCATTGCAACAGGCTCCGCACTTCGTTATCCAACCAATCGGTCTGCGCGGCTCGGTCTAGCGAAGTCACAGGCTCTGGAACAAGACGGGAGAGCTCTTGGCAAACAAGCTGGTAAGGGGTTTGGACTATGCTTTGTTCAAGACTTATCTGGAAGGGGCCGTTCGGAACCAGAGGGGCACCCTGGATGTGATCAAATAAGGCATCCAGCAAGGTGGCTGCTAGAAAGAACGCGGAGGCGCCTGACCTCTGAAGGGCCTCTTCCAGAAGAGTGGAAACGGGCTCATCCAATATTTCACGGGCACACGTAGCAGCAGCTTTGCCTTGGAGAGCCGGGCAGTATCGCGGCGCCAGGCTTGGTGACACAACACTGGATTTGTTGGTCGTCGTAGTGTCGACGTCCAGGCAATGTGTCCGAGACATCCGAAAAGGTCGTGCAACTTCAAGGATTTGAGTGCGACTCGACTGGGCCGAACCGATGTTAACACCATCGGTCTTGGTCATATCGAAATGCTGCACGCTTTGGGCCGGTTTGCACAAAAAGGCAAGGATAATCAGACACCAAAGACAACGACTGATATTGGAGGAGCCACCTGAATGGAGTCGGCGTACATACCTCCTATCAACCTGATTTCGCGAGGCAAAGTCAAGTGTAGTGAACAGGTCATCTGTTTCACGATCTGTGGCACATGACAGAGGCAGGAGGACAGAGGTGGGGAACGGGTCGCCAACTAGAAAGGCGCCTTGTTGTGTTCCGGTTACCCACTTGGCTTCTCTACTGTCTCTAGTGTGCGACACTGTTCCAGCACAGGGGGTGCCGTAATTGGGAGTGGTACTGGTAGGGGCAGATCGGAGCCCAGACGGGAAGGGTCCCCTCGCGGCAGCTGTCGGGGGGCAGCGGGATCCACCCGGCCCTGGCTGATCATCTCCGTCATCACTGTCCTCATCGGAAGGGGCGTCAGGCTCGAACCCTGTGGGGGGCCGGGGAGGACCTGGCCACCGGTGGGCAAAGCAGACTACGAGAACTTGACCGGCAGTAACATGTCGAAAGTGATTCTCTTCACCAACATGTGCGAAACCCCCAATAAGGCGTACACAGAAACCCGCTGGACATCGCTGCTGCTGCCTACCACACACATCTGCGACGTTGACCCGTCCTTCTGGGGCAGCTGCCCACTGGACTCCCAGAAGGACTGGACGCAAGTCGAGGATGTACGGCGTTAAGCCGTCACCGGGGGTCCTCACAGCGAGAAAGACCTGTCGAGAGCAATGGCCATGGTGTGCATGGTTACGAATAGCTGGTGTAGCCGGCATAAACGTCAGGGATGCTGGCGGGACCTGTGTGCGCTCTGCGACGGCCTGCCACATAGGGCGCCGCCAACGGTGAGGAGCTTCGAACCGGAAGGGGGCTTGATCAGTAAGCAACCATACCCCATCTGACGGGGTTATAGGAAAAACAGGGTCTTCAGGCCATGCTCCTGGGTCATGAAGCAACTGCATAAATTGAACCGTGGGTGCGACATGCTCTCCGAACGGTACAATGGTCAACAAGTCACCTGCTTGAGGGTACACCCGTGCGTCCGGTGGAACAGACCAGGGTATGTCCTTGACAAAGACGTGGACCTGCGCGTCCTCTGGCAAACCTGCCATGCGCAAAATACCGGGTACAGTAAGCACTGCTGGAGCAACTTCGGCGAAGATGCGACACGGCTGTTTGAAACACGCAATGGCAACGGGCACCCCATCGGGGATCCATGCAGGAAAGGCAAGTAAGCATGCGAAGGAAAAGGGCGGCTGTGAGTGCAGGGGGAGCAGTCTGGGAAAAATAGCCCGATGTTCTGCATTTCGCGCGGCCTGTACGGAATCGCATACAGCACTGGTATCAACCGGGAAAGTGCTCTGTACCGATACAGCTTCAGCTTCGTATTCGGGTGTGAGCAATAAAAACCACATGGTGCGGGCGGTTTCGGTGGCATCAGCACTGATGCCCTGCAGACCTGAAGCAGGGGCAGATGCGGGCAGCATAGATGAGGCAGCCTCTGCAGACCCAGTTGCGTCTTGCGAATTGACTTGTTGACGGCTGGTGACAGTGGGGGTATTCATGTCACGGGGCATTTCCATTGGAAAGCGCACAATCGGGGCAGGCACATATCGTAGACGGAGAACAAGTCCTGGTGAGAGGAGCTGGCTGAGGGGTTGGCCATCAGCCCTCTCAAGGACGGCTTTCCAACCAAGCGGAGCGGCTTGGTCAAATTCCTCCGATACCCGGCTTAGATCAGTAAAACCTCCCCTGATATGTAAGGCCCGCCATCCGACTTCGGCGGCACGGCCATCGAGTATGGCTAACCCCCACTGGGGCTGGCACTGGCTGTCATGAACACCGACCGCAACAACAGAGGTGCAGGGTATACCACATACTGCCGCATCGGTCGGTCGAGGTATGGCAGCGAAAAGTCGGACGGTGGAAAGAGTTGCTCCGACGGCATTGGCAACGTGTCGGCGATACACGAGGTGCTCATGCGGCTCGAGTAAAAGGAGTTGACTGCGCCGTTCCGTCACAAGGCAAAGCGCTCCAGGAAGATTGGGTGAAGGCAAAGCAACTGGCATATCCCAGTGTCGGGGATCTAAAAGGCGTTCACCTAGCGTGTAAGCCGGCGGAGAACCTTCAGTAACCTGGAAACACACCAGCACGCCTGGAAATAAATGCACAGGCTCCTCATCGACAAGCAAGCGCATATCTGGGCCAATCCAGACCTCAACCTCAAGAGACCTCGGGAGCTCGGCGAGCAGGATCAGCTCGTGTCTACTGACATAATCTGGCGAGAAGGCCACAAAGAGGCGTTGGTCGATCGACGACGTGTTGATGCAAATAGCAACACAGTGCATGTTCCACCCAGGCCTGGCAATGAAGGTTGCAGCTCCCTCACAGGGCTGGGGGAGCACAGGAACAAGGAAAGGAAAGCACTCGTGATAGTGAGGATCTCTGATATCCTGAAGTGCCTGGCAAAGTTCGTCAACTGTGCAGGGCAAGTCAAGAGCAACTGTTACCTGCTCGGGGGTATGATCACTTTTGAGTACAACACAATGAATCCGCTGAGTGGTAACGCTGTCTTCTTCAACATCAGTCGGCTGCCCATCGGTTAAAGGAGGCAGGAAAGCCTGCAGGAAGGTAGGTAAACCAGGGTGCCATCTCCCACCAAGCGCAAGAGTAACAGCTTGTAAGGCCGCAAGGTGCCGCGTCTCCTGGGCGTTGTTGCCTTGGGGCTCCGCCAGGAACCTGCAGCGGTAGAAACCGGCAGGAAGGGCGGAGACATACCTGGAGAACAACCCGATGGCAACCGCAAGCCAACTCAGCATATAGCTATATGCGAGAACGCACCAGATGTGAGCAAATCCTTTGGGGTTGTGGACAAAGGCCTCGGCATTATCAGAAGAAGCTTGCACAGAGGTAGATGTGACTACTAACCCCAGACCAAGAAGCCATTTGGAGGCACCTACATTGTGGTGCTTAGCGCGCACGCGACGCGTGGCGTGTCGGCCTCGGGGAGACCTAGACCTGCGCGGAGAGGTAGAGCCCTGGACAGCTCTGCCTCCGCCGGAGCGTGCTGAAGTCTCTGCATCAGAGGATGCAGTGGAACTAGGATCTTGCGCCTCGGCAGCCTGGTCGCTCGTACCTACAGCAGGCGATCCCGGCTCCTCAGGAGATGTCACAGGCACAAATTCGGCTGTGAGTATATCCCCGTTGTTTACGAGCAACATACCATCTTCGATGGGTGCACCCAGAATTTGCACTTGCCAGCCCGCTGGCACGAAAGTTTCTAGCAAGCCGGACAACTCGACATGTGATATCTTCCTCAGGGGTGCTATCCAGTGAGACCAGCCCTCTAGGAGCGGCCTTTGGTCGATGAATACCAGACAAGGTGGCTCTCCATCTTCAGAGTCGCGTTGTTCTGTGGGAGCGATAGCACACAAGGCTGCACACGGGGTGCCATGACACTGAACATCAAGCTTATCTGGCCTGCCTATAGTGAACAGCACCTCGCCTCGCATGAGTTGGCTGGTGGCTCGGGCACTGTGTTGTAGGTCGGACGTGCTGAAGTCAGGGCTGAGAACGACAAGGTCGGAACCATTATCATGCACAATGCACGCCTGACACTCGGCTCGGAGAATGGGGAGTTGTGGGGTTGGGTCCCATGTGTACGGGCTATGCAGCATGGTTGTAAGGGTGGGACCCTGTACAACCCTCGGGGCACCGCGCTGGCGGAACGTTACTTTTCCTCCTTCTCGGACTTCGACACGGTCGTGCGGTCCCATGGGGACAAAGTGGCTGAACGCGAAGATGTCGACGTCCATTTCTTCAGGAAGTTTCGCAGTGTGCAGCGCTTGCCGTGCAGTGAAGGGATTCGGCATGGGAGATACATAACAGCGTCCGTCGATATCGATGAGGTCCAAGAGTACTATGGACTCTTCGTCAGTCCACGCTGGTAAGGACATGACGGCACCCCAAAATTGCGAGGGCTGTGGGACTATCTCGACGAAGCGCGGATAGTAGCGATACCGATCATCATCAGCAGCATCAACAAGTGCTTGCATAGCTGCAGCCGGATGGCTGGGCGCTTCCAAAGTGATCTTCACGACCTCAGGCGTGGTGTCAGGAGTAAAGATGAGGAAAGTAGGGCTCCAGATACTCTCATGTGAGCCATCATCTGAGTCCTCTTGTGCAGAGTCTGTATGTATGGGCTCGCCTAGAGGTCTGACTCCTTCAAGCCTTTGGAAAGGGGCTGGCACATGTGCCTGTTCGCCACGCTCCACGAGCATCTGTGTTGCCTGCTGCAGAGCGGGTGTGCCTTGGGCAGGGGATTTACACTCAGAAATGAGGGGGGCTTCCAGTGCATCAGACTTAGGCACGTTGGAAGGTGCACTGTTGAGATACTGGTCGCCCGGGGGCTTAACGAGAGAACAACTACTTCTGCACAGTCGCGGCACAACCTCGATCACAGGCAAGTAACCCGAGTGGCACCCATTGGCGTGGTTGGGCTCTAAGTGCAATTGATAGTTCGCAGGGAGATCGTATGCTGCCTGCACAAGTGGCTGCCCGGGAACTTGGAAGGTAAGTAGTGACTTTACAACCTTCAGGTCGGGTTCTTGCTCGTGAGTAACAAGGCGCATGCTGAGTCCCAAAGGCCTGAGGTCAATAAGCCATTGACATACACTGGCAGCCGCAGCAAAGACGGTATGGCAATAGGCCCCATGAATGCACAGTTGCATACTTGACTCGGTTGACAAAAGCGCAGTACTCATGGGCAAACCTAATGCTTGCTTGATCGACTCGTCAAGGAAGACTGCGGTGAGTGTGGGAAATGAGACTCTTGACCATCTCTTCTCCGCAAAGACAGCGTTACCCATATATTGTGAAGGCCTGGGGGAATGCTCGAAAGGGCCCCACGCGCTCGGTTGGCTCACGATGTCGGAGGCTTGACAACGCTGTTCTCTGCGGGTGCCAGCGGTTAACA